CGTTCCCTTATCCTGTCAAAAAAAGAGAAGTACGTGAATAAGTTTTGCTTTTGGCTTTGGCATATGTGAAGCACCCTGTGGAACTAATCTTTCCGTACTTGTATAAATCCTGATACGCAAAATGTCCTTCCTCTAACGTCAGATCGTATCTATTTACGCTATGCCAGGCCTCTCACACCTTGCCAATTCATTCCGTCACAGGGCGCGAGGCGTCCAAAGTTCGTCCCGATGTATTTTTACTTATGGATCATACTAAATAAACGGGAGGTGTGTTTACTGTTCCGTTTCACTTGTGTCTACGTAAAATTACTGCTTTTCATAGATAAACTCGCAGTCAGCTGTATTTCAATTTTCCAAGCCATTTGAGATGCTGAAACAGCAACAAGTTTTACTCTATACACTTTTGATAAGAGCACAAAACTTCTATAGTTAAACCATCATCGTCTTATCTATAGCTTTAATTACTTCGGCCTTACTGACTCCTTAGTCGGTCTTCTAAGCTCATATCTTTCCAATAAGACGCAAAATGTATTATAGTGGTTATTGTTTAGCAAATTATATTCCCTCTGGCGTGCCGCAAGGTTCGAACCTGGGTGTTTTTATTCTTTATAGATAACCTAGCCGCTTCACTGAAATGTCAGTCACACTGACGGTGAAGCTTTGTCAAATATTATTGTTTGTTGTGTCTGATATATCAAAAGATGGTAAAAGTCCTTATCTGTTTTAGTATTGACATTTCCTCATATCTGTGTATTTCACTCCTCTTTATCTGACCTTCTTTACATGTAATATACAAATTTACATTCAGAGTGAGTCATAATTATTTCTCAAAAAGTAACATCTGGCTGAAAAATTAACGCCCGTGATTAGACTATTCAATGTAAATTGAGTTTATGCTGTGTTTTCAACAACTGAGGCACTTCAAGGAGCATTAATCAGGGCTCTTCAGAAGCTCCTCCTCATATATGTACTTTTTGGGATAGGTCAAGTTAGCGAGCTGGAATTCGGGATGATGAAAGTGACGCACAAATACTATATTTTAACGTAATAACAGTTGGATATTTTAAAATATCGGCTCCAGTTCCAACTTGTAACATTTTGTTAAATGAAATGGGAGGTCATGTGGTACCTTATTTTAAAACTCCTTACAGGTATGTCTACTTATAATAAAACATATACACTGAAGTCACGTGGTATCCATAAGGCAACACGGTTGATATATGTCAGTGTCAATCGCCATTTTTTTCTGGATACCACATGGTTGCCAGATTGTGCACGAACACCGCATGCGATGTTGCCGGCTCTTTGCATAAATCAGACACTCTTGTATAACTATATATTGTACATTTACTAATGATATATGGAAGATTTCAACGACATATGTTATTAACATATTTATGCTATTTTGACAAATAAGTAGTCACTCGTCTGTTAAAGTAGCTGCGTCAATAACACAGGCCATTATAAACTCATCCATACATTCTTGTTATTTTAAATTTTGAGAACATTAAAAAAATCTATACTTAATAATAATATTTATGATCCAAATATTTTCATTTCTGGTGATGGTCTTCTGCAGCACCTGCATGGAAAATATGTTAGAATTAGTGATGAAAACAAAAAGAAATAATATGTAATATGTAAACATCTGTAAGGTTATTACAGTTGCCAGATTTTTCATAAGAATTATAACAGAGGAATATCTAATCACATTATATGACAGTGATAATCAGAATGCCTACGGAAATATGATTATATATAATTCAGGGTTTTTTCAGCATCATTAAAATATATCATACTTCGTATAAGATTTGATGATACAAACATTTTGACTATATATTTATAATCAGGATATCTGACTTTAAATTCACTTTTATCAGCTTCTTTTTAAGCTATATCTACATATTTACTAAAGTGACAAAACCCTTTATGTTAAAGTTTATATTCAAACTTGAAATCTATGGAAATTTTCGTGAGTTTCTCATATCAACTACAGAATACCAAGTTCAACAGAGAAGCCCTACAAATCACTGGATTTAACATAAAATTACATTAGCCATGATTGTCAAACACATTAGCCATTGTCCGGAAGCACTCAAATGTCGAGATATATGCCCTGGAGAGAAAAGAGTATCAGGTAAATCTATATTCCATCTATTCTGATCTCCCTGGGCTGGCAGTGGAATGAAGTGCCTTCAACTCTGCTTCTTGAATGTTTGTGATTGTTGAATCAAGTAGAAATCCTCAATAGTCGTACTGTTCTAACAAATACATCCTTCCAATATAGAACCTCTTTATCACTAAACCTTTTTTTCAAGCGACCAGAATGCTCCCGTTGTTGTTTACAATTACATAGAAGAAAATGAGTTGTTCTCTTATACAATTTCACCAACATGTTAGATTTTATACTCCAGAGATCCAAAGTTCATCAATTGAACAAAAAATGTAGTTTAAATAAGAACGAACTTAATAAAAATTGGTAGATATGAAAAACCTACCTTCCAAGCATCCAGCCATCCAGACACAAATAGAAGAGGTTAGCTAAAATAGACAGTAGTTAACCGTCATACTTTGCAAAGCCACCATTTCTCTGGATGCCAACAGTGTTGTCACGTTGTGTTCGGCAACACCGCACTGTTTCCCTTCTCCCATATGAGTTACTCCCCATGAGGTAACCAAAATTACGTGCCGTCATCGCGAATATTCGACACGTTTGGAGATGAATCTGCTGCCATCTAGATCACGCCAATGGAAGCTCGAGACTCGGAAGGAAAACGCTGGAACGTTTCTCGATTCGTCGATAGGGAGATAAATACCCGATCAGATGGCGGAAGGAGTCAGAAGTCGAGTCAGTGGACAGTGAGCGCGGAATTAAGATGGGATAATAGTTCAGTAGATACAAATATAACATTGTTATGTGCAAGCAGTAATAAATTAGACTTTGAACAGTAAGATCGGTGTTTTCGGAACAATACGAAAACGCTCAACTTTTCATCTTGTCAGATCATTTTAAAAAATAGGCATATTATATGCAGCCTAAAAATGAGGTATTACACGACACATCCTTCCAGTTAAAACATAGTATTCAGGTGTCAATTTTGTCATTTTGAATTTCAGCTCCCTGAGACGTGACCGTTCAAAAAATAAGTAGTAGGGACCTTTTTAAAAAGCACTGTATAGAACGTAGAGTATAAAAAATTTGGCACGCATTAACATTTATAATTGTATAAACCTTCACGCGATCCACGCCAGAGTGGTTTAGAAGTACTAAAATATGGCCAAAATTAGAAAGATCTACTTGATTTAAAAAAAAAACATTTCTTTGTTTTCTAGGACACTGATAACGAATATGATATCCATTTATCAAATATCAAAATGGCGGATCTAAAATTCTGTACATCATTGCAAAAAAATGTTTTCATTGAGCTCAAATTTGAGTTTTGGGTATTTTCAGGATCGCTAATAACGAACTTGATATCCATTGTTTAGAAATCGAAATAGTGGTCTACTATGGCAGCCGTGTTTGCAAAAAATGTTTTGATCGCGCTCAAAAGTGGGTTACAAGTGTTTTTAAGCTCGCTGATAATCATTTTAATGTCTGCTCTTAAAAAACCTAAATGGCGGATCCAATATGACGGGTATCTTTACAGATACTTGTCGATTGGGCTCAAATTACATATAATTGTTTTTATAAGGTATAAGTTATGTATTATTGTATAATATCCCATAACTGCCAAATTTGCAGTCAGCTCCAGGAAAAATTGACATATTTCTTAACTGTGCGTCTGCTAAACGTGCTACTATTTAAAATAGAGCGGACTCGAATGGGATTTTTTAAACTTTGTTTGAATTAACTGATTAAAGAAAAAAATTGTCAAATTGCCATCGAGTTACTTTGGGTGAGAACAGTGCTTGTAAGTTATTCCATGACTTTTGGTAGTCTTTATATTTTGGTTCAAACTGGTTGCAGGACATTTTAGATAAAACGTACCACATGGGCGAACACTTACAATGTTTTCGAAGTGAATGTTGGGTTGAAGATCGTTGCTCTGGAGTCTGGAGATTTATTTAATCTGCTCGCTCTAAAGTTGAGTGCTCGCTTGCTACTTCTGGTAGATTCATTTGATATGTTCTATGTAGTTTTTATAAACCACAGCGGGTTTGGTTGAAATTTTCAGTTCACAATAACGTCGCTCTCATGGGTCAAGATTGAGATGACAATTTTTAAACCTTTTTGGATTGCTATTTGACTAAGTTTATACTTAGGGGTTGACATATAATTAGCTTTCCATATCAATAGAACTGTGCTTGCTCGACGAAGGCATGTGTTGTATTTTTGCCTCTTTGAGTGACTCATGGCTACTAGCATAATAGATTGGAGCTTGGTTAGCATCATGCAAGTTAGATTTTTTATTCTCCATTCTTTTAACTTGTTTTATTAACACATTTACTGCGAACTGGGATGAGGATACCCACCTCAGAAACTGAAATACTCTTTTTGGAAGGCGGCAGAGAGCGTCGAAAGACGCCGTTCGCCTTCCACCACAGGAGCGGAGGGCGTCTTTTGACGTTGTTCGCACTGAACGTTTCAGCGGCTCCTGATCATTTTCAGAAAAAAAAGTGTAGATGCTCAAAAAGGGGCTAGGGGAAGCTAGGTCTCAATATTTAGATATTAGAGACATTTCATACATAGATTTCGTCCCACATTTGGGAAATACTTTAACCCCGCCCGCGTTCAGCACAACGAGTACTAAGTTTTGAGTAAATTGACTGAAACATGTCGGTTCAAAAAGCCTATAAAAAATCATTATTTGGCGTATGCTGCAAACCCTTTTGATGTTACGTAAAATAGAGTACATGTTTATAGTGCTGATCATGATGAGCAAAAACGTTCACGAGGCTATTGTACTTGAATCGCAATAACCTATTTTGATTCAAATTAGTAAATCACGTGTAAGTAAACACCCGATTATGAACAGCCTTTAGGCAAAATATACAACCCTTTAGTGGTCAAGTGGTTACACTAACACTGTTTATTACGCAGTAGACCGGGGTTCGATTCCCCACCGGATGGGTTTTTTTTGTTTTTCTACAAACCAAGTCTAAACATAATTTGTATAGAATGCATAAAAATAATACAAGTCGGACGAACACATGTAACTACATGTTAATCTAACCCAGATGTGCTACTCAGAAGCATTATATTCCAGCTACCCGCTCGAAAACGGGGCGGGTACTTAGTAGAAGATAAACTTAAATTTCTGGATCGCAACATTGTGAGGACTAATCGTATGAGCTTATTTGACCGACTTGATCCACTCAATGTCTATGTTACGCATGTTCGTAGTTACCTTTTTTCTAAAAGGAGTTAACTTGGGCCGTATATATAATCGTTTATAAACTAAGGACAGCCTTGTAGTAGGAAGTGCAAGGTCCACCCACTCGACGCCATTTTTTTTTAGCTGAACAATACAGTCACGTACATGATTATATTATAGTTATTAAACAAACTCAATTGAATATTTTATATATTTCGAAAGGATTGTTTAAAAATATGTGTATCTTTTGAGATGATTAATTGAAAAAAATCGAATCGTTAAGCCAGAGGATTCAACATTAATGTGGGAAATAGTTCACTCATTTTTGATAAGTCACGAAAGATTCCTCTTAGTAAATTATATCATATCGCTTTCTTTAGAATAAACAATATCTCTCATTTGTTTTTGCACGTACTTAAATACATTTCTTATCGGATTACATCATTTAGTTTTTCAGGTCAGTATTATTGGTACTAAGAGCTTTTTCAATATTTAAGTTTATAAAATTATCTATAAATGCTATCAGTAGAACCATTAAATAATGGCCGAATAACTGAAAATTTGTGTTCAATAATTCAAATGGTTTAGTAATCTAATTTACTAATTATTTTTTCACATGGACCCAAAAACACGGAGTACATTGAAGTACATACAATGAACTCAAATAATGTTTGTTCTGCGTCATTCGATTTATCTGGAAAGTAGACCTCTGTGGACAATGTCTGTCATCCAAATTCTACATATACTTTTAGATATTTGCTGCCAACATTTCAAGATGGTATGGACAGCAGTTGTACTTTGGAACGATTCTTCGGTCAACTTCCTTTACGGCTCAATAAATTAATCTTATTATGTGGCGATATTTCTGTGTATTGAAGCATGTTTCAGATTTGGATATGAATATTTGGCAAAAAAACGTGTAACTGAAGAACATGATGATTCTTATCAAAGTCTGCTCCTGATTAGTGAAAATTTAATATACTGTTCCAACAATAATTGTTTTACAACATATTACAAATCGAAATATCTGAAGTTGAAAAGTGCATATTATTATAAAATTAAGAACACACGCCATTTTGCCTAAATAACTACAAAAAATAAAAAAAAATGTAATTTTCAAGATGGCTTGGTCCTTATGTGTCTCTATGAACTGAAGCTTTTGAGCTTAACCTGTATTGCCGTGATAGGCAATATTATCAGTTTTTAAGTAACCACCTGTATCAATTTCAAGTACAACATAATGATGAGCATCCGTAATCATAAAAACAGACAGGAAAATATGTATAATTACTGTGTTTGTGGGAAAATGGATGTATTTGAAAACCCAAGATAAGGTGTGAGTAAAATATGACATCAGGCCTGTTATACAGGGTGGCTCATCCATGTGTGGACGGAATATTACTTATAAACAAATCCATTTTGGGAAAATCTATTAATGGCATGTTATACGTATACATGACATTTGAGGGCGTATTTCTAAAATATTGGCAATTATACAGGGTGTCCCAATTTTGACCTACATGTCAAAAGACTCACACACCTCAGCTTTTATATTATTTGTTACTTTTTCGAATTTTCATTTTTGCTCATACAGGGTGGTTAAAAACGCGATTTGTACTTTTTCTCAAAAATTTCAAAAGCATCACCCTGTATATACGTTCTGGTTTGGATTCAATTTTTTATAAGCTTTTTTTTGGTATAAGGTTGGATTCAGATAAAATCACTAGATTTTGAGTTATTAAGCTTTAATAGAATAACACACCAAAATTAAGGAAATAACAGAAAAAATTGCCGTAAAAACCCTTATGTGTCTCGTATCAAAAAACCTTATAAAAAATTGAATCCAAACTTGCACAAATATATAGGGTGATGCATTTGAAATTTTGAGAAAAATTACAATTTGCATTTTCACCACCTTGTACGAGCAAAAATTCGAAATAGTAATAAATAAGATAAAAGCTTAGGTGTGTAAGTTTTTTTGATACAAAGTTCAGCATTCCAAATTTCAGAATGGCGGACTGAGGGGTTGCCGAAGGGGGCAGTTTTTCTAGACAAAACACCGTATATCTCAGTCGCTAATTACCAAAACCCCATAGTATGTTATATCAATTTTCTTCTTTTGAATTGGTTTATCTAAATATGCAATCAAATTTTAGGCATTCCATTTAAAAAATCACAACTTTGATATGTAGGTCGAAATTGGGACATCCTGTATAATGGCCAATATTTTAGAAATGTGCCCTTAGATGTCATGCATAACATCTCATAAATAGATTTTCCCAAAATGTATTTGTTTATGGGTAATATTCCGTCCACACATGGATGGGCCACCCTGTATAAAACAATATCAAACCCGGGTTCACGTGAACTCGGGTTCAAGCTTGACAACAGTTCAACGACAGATGCGTTGTACCGTCACAGTTTAAAGGCAGGTCAACTGAACTACTTTAGTTGCGGTTCTGTTTGTCACTAACACTTGGTGTTACTGTACTGCACTGACATATGTTATGTTATTTCTTTTTATTTAGCGACATCAGCGTTTAGCTTTATATATATATATATATATATATCCCCTGTTGCTATTATTTTTGACTAATCGGCAAATTAAATAAGTCTGGATTCCAAAAAAGGGGCGCAAAATTTTCTTCAAAGGACGAGATGTTGTTGGTAAGGTCGGTGAAAAAAGACCAACACACCATCGAATGCAAGAAGTCTGATGTGAATTCCCAAAAATTGAAATTTGAAGTGTGGATTGCGATATCCAACCAGTGTAATGGTTTGGGCGGCGATGTACATCGTGATTGAAAAGATATTTTGTACTCGATTTCGTACACAATAAAAGTAACTGATTCCTTTGTGAGGCGAAACATGCTGGAAAATTCACGCTGATCCCATTTATTGAAGTGATCATGTCTGAATCTATAGGTCTGAGATTTTCTGGGATGCACCAATACAACGCCAGAAAATCTTCACCACCAGTAATTTGTTCAACATCATCCACTTTCGATTAACATGAACCAAACCTTATACACAACAAAACAAAAAAACTCATTAACACAAGACAGCTTAGCACGATTATCATAAACCTATAAAAATCTAGCCTGAACCGACGTCAAACGTAGGTGCTTCCCTCGGTCAACTTGGCCAGAGTTTAAACTGCTATATGTCCGTGAACCTGTATAGTTTTCCACAGAATGAGGGTCAAAGTTGAACTTCGGTTAAACTGGGTTGGTACAACCGGCCTTTATTGTTCTACTACTTACTCTATTATAAATTGACTCAGTTTTTCTCATTTTCCATATTAGGTATGTTTGGCAAATTTCAGAGATTTTACAAAAAAAAATGGCTACAAATATTATAGTGATCGGAAAGCTCAAGTATGCTGAATAGCAGTCTGGAAAGTTTTAAATTGTTGACCCCATGTAATATCTACTGTGACCCAAACCGTTTCCGAAAACAGAATGGAAGTGAGTTGACATGGATTCTCATGTTGAAGATACAACATAAACGTAAAAATTACTCTCTCGGTCATTCGTGGGGTTAAAATGCATGTTCTCCTTAAGGCCAGGCTAAATAACTGGTAAGTAACCATGTCAAAATACACCGACGATTAACCAAATAGCAATTTGAGGTTGGAAAAAATTTGTTTTGTTAATCGTGTAATATTCCGTGAAGCACACTAAGGCCTGATTTTACTAGGTCCGGGCGCAAAATTTGTGCATATGGCACAAAGTAATGGATCATATCATCGCCTGAAATGTTCAATTCGGAAATATCTAAACTTTACATACTATGCTCAATCAACAACGCTGATTTCGCTTGCTTGGTCTCCTGTAAAATTTACCAAACGTCGGTTAGGACACTTTGTAAGAAAACCGACGATATGGATATGGTCAATTTTTTGTAAAATATCTCTCAAACTAGAGGAAAATTATACGATTTGTGTAACTGAAATCGAAAGAAATTCTACTTCATCATTAGCGAAATTTTTTGTAACCAATAAGTGTTAACTGACCTTATGTTTTCTTTATGCAATACATTAATTATCCTTTACTATTGTCGTTACTGTATACTGGTATTATTTTTTAACAAATGTTTAATTTGTATATGTTACTGTGAAAGTTCGAAATTAATGAATGTCGACATTCACCGGTGAGTGTCGACACCAAATGACTGGAGGAAGACCGAACATTTATAAATATGATTATAGTTCCGGAGAATCACCGTCGTATGTTGACAAACACAAATGGGTCGCGGTGATTGTCGAAAATGACTTGTTGTAACTGTCTTTTCGGCGGTAGCGTGTTGCCTTCGCATCAGTCTTAACGCAAGGTTTGAGAGCGGGTATGTGCAAGCTGGTCAAGTTAATTAATTTGATATTAGGCATTGTATTATTTGTAATCAATGGCATCTGCAGTAAGTCGTGATCAGTTTTCTCAAAAGTTAGAAGCTTTAATCGAAAGTAAACGAGAAGACAATTGTTTCTATTTTTCTCAAGAAAGGTTTAAAGTAAATTCTGCTAAAAGTAAGTGCAGTACACCTCTGGACTACAGGCATTTAAAACGTTTTGACATATTAAAAGTTAGTGATGATGAAAAGCTAATTGTGCCATTAAAACCAGGAGAAATTAATATCCAGTATTATGTTATAAATGCAGAGTTGTTTGATATACTTTCCGAAACTCACATAAGGACAGGCCATGGGGGTAGAACACGTATGCTAAAGAATTACAAGTAAAATACAAAAATATTACCTATGAAGCTGTAATGTTGTATTTAGTTGCGTAAACAGTGTCAAATGAAACACAGCACCTAAAAAAGGTATTGTTGTGAAATCAATGATCAGTCACATCATTTAACAAAGTTTGTCCAGTTACGACCATTGGAAACCAAGAGAGCGGGAGAAGTAACATGTCATCTTCCTCAAATTTTTTTAACATTTGGTGCTCCCGCCATATCGCATTCGGATAATGGTAAAGAGTTCAGTAATCGAGTCATAACTATGCACTATCTGGAAAGATGTTAAAATAGTGCAAGAAAAGCCTCGTCGTAGTCAAGCTCAAGGCTCTGTAGAAAGAGCTAATCAGGACATACAGAATATGTTAACTGCGTGGCTGAATGACAATGATTCAAATAAATCACGAAGATATACGGCAGAGCCCATATGAAGCCATGTTTGGCTTTAAACCAAAAAGAGGCCTAGCATCGTCATCTCTCATTTGCGGAGAAATTGAGAATATTGAAACTGAGGAACAGCTAGAAGTCTATTTAAATACGTTTTAAGAAAATTTGGGTCGTGACCATATACGAGTAGGAGATCATATTTCAGATGAAAGCGACGTTCATAACGAAAACTCCATTCGAGCAGATCCGCAACCTAGCATGCCTTTATCTGAAACATCGACTGAATCAAAGTGTAGCACGTCTACATCTCAAGCACTAGCCGATCCGTCTACCTAGCACGTCTTCATCCCAAATACTCGCTGAACAGCACGCGCTAATTTCTTAAAAAAGAGCAGCCGCAAAAGATAATGTTTCACTTCAAGCAATAAAAATGTTACGCACTTCCGAAACAAGTTTCCCACCGGCCCAAATAGGTGATACAGTGAGAATTAAAGAACCTAACCGTGTTCTCGCAGATTCCTGAAATCTGTTAGCGGTGATTGCTGGAATAGAGGATTCAGACTTTTATAAATTAACAAACAAAAATGGTACCCCAGTTTATAAAGAAAAATTACTTTCCATGGATGAGATTACAACTGAAGAAATATCGCTAATAGAAGCATCTCTTGCTAATTTAAAAAGTTTAGGTCAAGGCTATACACGTTGCAACTGCAAAAGAAAGTATTCCACGGCTAAATGTAGCTTTAAAAGCAAGGGACTTTTGTGCAATTCGAATAGTCATGGTAGTTTAAGTTGTTGCAATAAATAAAATTACGTGATACATTTCCTTTTTTCAATATTTTATATAAAAAATTCAAACTGTTTATGTACGGCTGTAATCTTGATATTATTTCAGTTACCCTTAGATTATCTTAACTGTTTGTTTCAAGTACAATAAAACAATAATAATGTTCTTATGTTTATTAAAACATTTTTTACATATCCGCTAAAAGGTCAATCCGTTGACCACATACTCTTTTGGCTGGAAATAATAGGGCTTTTATATTGCCGTTTTCCATTGTTTTCAACCAAATTTTCGCGAAATTTGAGCTTCAATAAATGAAATATATTTTTTTTCTCTACTTTATTAGCTATCAGTATATATGTACATTCCATAAGCTAATTTGCTGGACGGTACAATCTTAAATAGTTGTACCTCATGACAGGATGAAGCAGACATCCAACGATGTCACCTCAGTCTTGCAAGTCTAGAGACAATTTCATTTTCAGTCTCCTGGTCTCAGTGGGAATTTCATATTCAGTCTCCTGGTCTCAGTGGGATCTAATAGCAACGGCAGCAGTGGGTTTGGATGGTCGCTAAGCCTAGCATGGTGTTTGCAACTTCTTTCCATGCGACTTGCCGTAAGTCCAAATGGGCTTGATGATGGCTTTGTATATCAGTAACTTGTTTTCTATGCTGAATTTTGATTTCCGTCCTATCAGCCAATTTAACTCTTTACTTTTCAAGTCCATCTGTTTTCTTTTCTTGGATAGATGTTGCTTCCAGTTTATTTTGTCGTCCATGTGCAATCCCAGGTATTTAACACTTGCATGTTGAGGTATGGTGACTTGATTCAAGGAAACAGCTGGGCATTGTCCTTTGTGGAGAGTGCAGGTGATGTGCGTGGATTTGGTTTCGTTGACTTTGATCTTCCATTTGTTCAGCCAACTTCCTATATCGTCTAGGTGCCTCTGTAGTTTACTTGAAGCTTGGTCTGGATCTTCATCAGTTGCAAGAATCGCCGTATCGTCTGCAAATGTGCCAACTGTTGTTTCAGTTGTTGTGGGTATATCCGCTGTGTATACGACATATAGTAAGGGACCCAGTATGCTGCCCTGTGGGACTCTTGATTTCATAGGGTAGTAGCTTGAAGTCTCACTGTTTGCTTTAACTTTGTAGCAGCGGTCACTTAAGTAGGATTGTAGCAACTTGAGGTATTTTTTTTTGGCACTAGGACATTGCGTCCCATTAGCCAGATCCAATCTTGTATATCTCTAATTATGGACAAACACACGACGTCACAACATCCATGGCGAAGGCGAGATTTGAACTCGCGGCCCGGCCGGCCGGCTGATCAGTAGCACGACACTCTGACCCACGCGGCCAACCGAGGTTCCCAACTTGGCTGGCAATACTTTCTTCATTTTATGCAACAAGCCTGGATGCCACACGTTATCAAATGCTTCAAAACTAGGAAGGCTGCCGTACAGTATTCTTTTCTTTCGAAGGATTTGGCGATTATATCCGAAAGGCGGTGACACTGCTGCACAGTTGAGTGAGCCGACCTAAAGCCAAACTGATGATTAGGGATCCAAGCTAGCCGATCCAGTTCGCCATTTATTCTATTGAGGATAAGTCTTTCCAAAAGCTTAGAAATGACTGGCAACAGGCTGATCGGGCGATAAGAACTAATATCCATTAGACTTTTTCCTGGTTTCGGTACCATAATTATTAGCGCACTCTTGAAGGACATGGGCCAGTAGTCTAGCCTTAATCAATGAAATATAAATTTTATTTGAATAGTGTACCTCAGAAATAATGATATTTAACAGATAATTAGGATATATGCTGAGCAACTTGGCGAATTTCGACATTCACTGGTCGATCTCGATTGAGGTTAACTACAAAAACCTATTTTTTCTCTTTATAGGTTAGTAACAGGTCAGCCAACAGTTGATTTTTATCTTTGCTGTACAATATCCCAACTAGCATTTTAGTATGTATTCGTCAAATAGTAATTATGTCTTTGAATGATGTCGTCAAAAGTTAAAGTGTCTTGAGAGTTGAATCCTTTGTCAAAAATTGGTAACTACTTACCTAGTTAGGGCCCTAATAGAACTTTGATCAAAAGGTTAAACTGGTTGATTCAAAACTACAAGAAACATCTCTAAGAAGTACTTGAAGAATTATTGACCACGAAGACAAGTCCAGAGCTTACCTAATATTAACAAAAAAAAAAGATCTCAATGTTAGATTCTTTTTTGGGCATATTGGTAAGTAAAAACTATCTTATTAATGAGCAATAAAAATGCCTTGTAAGTTTGCAACATAGATTGATAAAAAACAAGTCTAGTTTACTAATTCAGCCTATTTTACTCTTTGATGTTTCTATTTTTACGAAGTTGTACGCAGAATTATTTTAATTGGAGTTAAAACTACGTGCAAATATGTCTTCATAGTTATAATGCCCAAACATATCCTTTTTTAGCAATTTAGTTGGCCCCTCCTCCATACTGATCTTTGATTACTGTTGGTTCTCGGTTCTTTTAATTTGCAACGTGCTTGCCTATGCGTGCTAGTTTTTTTACTATTTAAATCTAGTTCAGAGGAGAGCTGTAAATTTAAATCGGGAAAGGCCTAAGGTTTATAGGCAAATCTCACAATACTACCGGGTTATTAAATGAGACATGATAGCCGCGTGATTCAGTTCGGAAGTTTTGATGCGTTCCGCTCAATAATCGGACCCTGTAATGCAGAACGTAGTTTTGAAGTGACCTTTTCTTCTCCATGACACGTTTCAGAACCGTCCTTGTTTTCTTTGGAACAAGCTGAATACGGGATGTTAAAAAACCACTCAGTATAATAGCGTAGAAAACATAGAACAACTATCAAAATCGAACACCAAAGGCTACTAATGAACGCAACTCGATACGTCCATCTCTTTCTCTCCTCCCTGAATTAGAGCTGTTTTACACACAAGAGAATTACTCCGAAAATTATAGTCATAATTATGCCGGAAATTTTTGCTGTCGTATTACACGTAAAAGAATTCTTGTGAAAATTTTCATGGTAAAAATATAAAACCGTTCTATAGAATATGCGCGAGAATCGGCGCAGAGGGTTATTTCCGTGCATATCAATATCAAATGTCAACGTCAACAACATAACCTCACTTAACATTTTTGGGTGTGGTCCTGTTCGAGTCGTACGAAGAACCGTTTACTAATTATTCATAATGTCGTGGAATCGGGAAGAAGTTACACTGTTGTTGGAGGAGTACCAAAAATGGCCAAACCTGTACAAGGTGAAGTCAGCCAATTACAAAAATAGAAATTTGTGGCGTCAGGCGCTGGACGCGATAGTCCAAGCATTGAGAAGTTTGAAACCTAACGTGACAGCACAGGATGTACAAGCAAAGTTTCAAGCTTTGAAACAAAATGCCAGCAAGGAGAGGCGAAAATGTTTGGAATCGCAAAGAAGTGGCGCTGGTTCAGATGATGTAAGTTTTTTCTATATGTTTGCATATTTCATTACTTCCACTATCTATATTGTGTATCTGATTGAGTCTTAAAAGTAATATTTTTCACAGATCACGGAGCCATCACTGTGCTATCATAATTTGATTGGCTACGTATTTGACAATAGCGAAGAAAGAGGAGCATTCGATTCTTTGGAAAGGGAAGATGTTCAAGAACAAGATATAACATTGGTAAGTGCCGATGTTGTGTTGCATATTTCACTATGGCCAAAGCCCAAATTTCACTTAAATATGAATTCAACAGTGATTTTGTCTAAACCTAAGTACAGTTGAACTTTGATGAACAGTCATCAATGCCTTTGCATTTATGATAACAGAATGGACCGATGACCATGTGCTCCATATTATTTATGTAACAAATAACATGTCAAGCACAAGCTGGTGTTACATTGTCATGAAACTGGTCATTACCTTCATTCTTTTGACTATTCATGAGTTTTCATATCGAAATCTAATCAAGCATTAATTTAATGTAAATATATATTTATACCTCTTTTGCCAAGACTAGAAAACTTTATTCTATATTGCTACCTGTTCATTTCAGATTGAACAAGCAGATGATGCGGATGCCTTCGCAGAGGAGGTGCTCTCGGCGGCAGTATCACCGACAGGGGTTTTGGAGCATATCAGCACGCCAAGCCACTCTAGAAGCTCTCCAAGGGTGAGCATGACAAGTGCTCCCCAAAAAAGGAAAAGGAAAGGAGAGGATACAGATCTTATGGGGGAGGTCAAAAGTATCTTGCAACATATTTCCCAAAGACTGGGACAAACCAGGGAGAAATCCTCTAACCAGATCTTTGGGGAATATGTTGCCTCAAAGCTTGACCGAATAACGGACAGTGAGATAGGAGATGAGGTTGAAGCTGAAATTGTAAACGTATTAAATACTGCCCTGCGAAGGTGCAGGAAATGATGTTTTTTAATATTAAAGAGCATTAAATGGATACTTCATTATTTTATTTCTGTATACAATACGGTACAATAATAGAAATAATTATTTGACTAAATATTTCATGAAATGTTCCTTTGTACAGCTGTGTCTTGTCATGGCACAGATCCAGATGTTGAATTGAAATAATCCCTAAATTCTTCTCAGATTGATCTCGCATAATTTCCTGATCGATTCCCAATCTGCTGTGAAATTTGAGGTAACAATTCGGATGAATCAATGTCATACGTGCCTTCAGTGTATGTAGCATTCTCTTTAACTAAAAAGTTATGTAAAACTATATAGGTTAATGTTATGAGTTCAACTTTATCTAGTCCCAAGTATATTTTTTGTAATAGAACTCTCCATCTGTTTGCTAGTATTCCAAAGCCACACTCCACCATTCGCCTAGCTCTTGACAGACGGTAATTGTAAATTCTATTATCATATGTCAATGAACGTTGTGGGAAGGGTTTCATTAAATGGTTAGATAATGGGAACGCTTCATCAGCTATAAAAACATAAGGCACTTTATTTGTCCTACCAGGAAGAGCCCTGTCTGGTGGCAGATTGAGTGTATTGTTTTGCATTCTTTTATGCAGCCCACAAGCACTGAAGAACCCTCCATCACTAACTCGGCCATTAACACCAAAATTCGCATAGATAAATTTGTAATTGGCATCTACTAAAGATAGTAAAACCATACTGTCTGTGCCTTTGTAATTGTGGTAATATGATCCAGCAGATGTAGGTGGGCTAAAAGCTATGTGACGGCCATCTAATGCTCCAAGACAATTTGGAAAATTCCACTTGCTTTGGAAATCTGCAGCAACTTTCAACCAGTCATCTGTAGTTGGATTCTACGATTTAAGTAACTGTTAAATGATCTAGTTATAGAAATCATAGTGAATTGAAATACCTTCAAATAAACATCTTTCAAACATCTACATAATGCTAAGCAAGGTTCTGGAACAATTTTATAAATTGTGCTCTCATGAATTCTTGTGCTGTACATGAGACTTCTATATGTTTCACCAGTAGCCAAGAAACGCAATGTGACATCAAGCCTAAAAACAATAAGTCCCATTAGCTATATATACATACGTCAAAAGTAAATTCAATTGTCCAAATTTATATGATGCCAAATCAAAACTATACATGCTTTATGCATGTGTTGTATAATAAACGAAAACAAATAAATAATTATTGCTATCTTACTACCTGTGTTGGCACTTATGCTTTCTCTCATAAAAGTGTCTTCCTTTTTTATGTGAGGTTCGACCAATGCTAACAGGTAATCAAATTGAGTATCATCAAGGCGAAGAAAATTTCTATAAGCATTCGTATCCTCTACTCGTAGCTCCCTGTTTAAAAGAGCTAAAGTACCTCTGCCCTTTTTTTCTCTGCAGCCACTTATTTGTCCACTGAGATCTTTTTCTACTACCGACATTTTTTTTTGTTAACTGGTATATTAAGAAACAACAAGTCACTGCAGCAGTTAAGAGTAAGTCAGATTGACTCAAATTCATTTTTTATAATATCAACCAAGATCTCGATTTCATAAATATAAATCAACGACGTCTGTTGTCTTTCCGATTATATTGGACATCATACCCGTTAAGGTTATGTCCATTCGAAAATATTACTCTAATGCGCAGGCGTATCATATGAATTACTCGGAAATTTTGTTTGCTTGTGTCATACAGGTTGTAGAGAAAATCTTCAATATTTTTTCCATGCAAATTTTCGGCATAATTATGACCATAATTTTCGGAGCAATTCTCTTGTGTGTAAAACGGCTCTTAGGCAACGATTGTAACTTAAAAAGAGAGAATGATGCCTGTCATGAATTTTTTCCTATCGCTTACACGCAGTATGAAGTGGGATTGTAGTATAATCCATACACAGCTTCAGGAAACTAATAAGTGCATCCTACTTACAACAATCTGAAAAATTATTTAATGTCAAATTGTTTGTCCAAAAATAAAAAAAAGACCTAGTTTCACCTTAATTTGGAATTTAACCCTCTAAGACAGTGCTGTCCAACTTAATGTGGCCCAAGAGCCACTTCCAAAAAAAAAAATGCAGTTTGGAGGGCCGCATTATAAAATCTTTCTATACAACATTATTATAGAGTTAATGTAAGAATTGTGCATATTCGGTATTTGAGAGTAATTTATACATGTGATGTATACATGACCCGTGAAGCGGGCCGCAAGAAAGGATGTGGCCCGCGGGCCGTATATTGGACAGCCCTGCTCTAAGACATTATTAGGTCTGGAATAGGGTAAACTAAACTTTACAGTAAAAAATGTATTATGCTATCTCGATCTGCATTGTGGTAAAGATGTACAAAAATAAACGATCCAAGTTGCACATACGAGTACATCTTACATTTTCTGGCCCCCAAAAGTAATCAATTGCAACTTTATATTAGCGCGAAAGACGCTCTAAAAAGCATTATTGATCCTGGAAGGTAATGCCGGAGCATTAAATTATAGATAAAAAGTATAGCATTCCACACCCTATTTCACGAGTATCCATCACGGAACAATGACAGCTAGTTATCTAGTAATATTTCAAAATTATATATATTATATAATTATTTATTTTGTACTTGCTTACAACTCATAAGGTGAGGAAACAATATCAAATGTTATAAATCCCAAAACAGTCTTATTTTATCGTGGTTCCTTAATCTTTTAACTACATTGCATTTGTATATGATAAGCAGTTATCTAGAAGTATTTTATAGAAAAAATGAACAAAGTATAACCTTATTTCTACATGCAGCGAAAGACCACAGATGAAAAGGTTTTTTTTTAAATTTAAGAAAAAATTCAATATATCAAAAACGGTGTCACTTCCATAATAGGTAATTTTTTGTAATTTGGGAGGTCAGTCCAAAGCCTACCTTCTCCTTAAGTTTGTCGTTCGTGTTTTGAACCCCGTGGTATTTTTGAAACTGATAGCTGTTCTAGAACAATAATTTACAATGCAATATTATGGTAGCAGTGTCGTGGGGATTATGTTAATAAAGATACACCAATCTTTTGTAGAGTTACCTCGAAACGTAATTAGTTTAATTGAGCTTGCATTATGATCGGAGATCGAACGATACAGAATTTTTGCTGGTACCTGTAATAGGCAGATATTTTAAAGGCCGATATATCAGTGTTTTTCTGTCACATAACAACATGTTGTCCCTTGCTTTAGCCGTTATACATTTGTGTAATCCATAACATAATGCGCACTGGATATAACCTTATCACGGGATATATTCCCATATAGGAAGCTCTTTTATCGTCAGTTATGACAGAAGTGATATACATAATATACTCAAAATAAGACAAAAGCGTTTGTTGCGATATCTGCGAGGTAATATAAAAAATCAAAGGTATGTGTCCACTCATTTAACAGAGATCGTCTATACAGCACCTACATGAGTGATTATATCTTTAAGAACATCTACCAGAAGACCATTATGTCGGCTATGAACCCCCCTCAAATGTTAAAAAAAATTTCTTCAACTCGAAATTGACAGCTGCAACCCGAAAGGGGGGTTGTATAGACACGACTAACAATGCTAACTAGTCAGATGAGCACTATGAGGTTAAAGAAATTTAACTTCATGAATCCCTTTCTCTTTTGTAACTAAACTAAGTCTTGTGGGGTTCTAAAAATTAATAAACCCATGGGATGACATGCATGTTTTGAAAATAACTTCTGTTCATAAAGTTATAAATCAGTTATCAGATACATCGACGATTCAACACTCAGCAATTTGAGGTTAGAAAATACATCAAAAAGGCATGCTCAACGTCGAAGGTCCATTTTTCAATAGCCTGTTTGGATGAATATTCGTTATACTTTTCGTTGGATTGTGTCATGGTGTGTACAGAGATGACTGAAAAACTGTTTCTTTTTTGTTCAAAAATGCATTTTTTGTGCATTTTTTCTTCAATCGTAACTTGTTAACAAGTGAAAGCTACAGGGAAACACGTAGTCTTAACGCAGTACAATCTCATGAGCTATCGGAAACACGCAAAAACAATGACAGTTGCGTAGTTATACCCAATTGAAAACTTTCCGTGCAGGAAAAAAATGAATGTCACAGCAGTATGAAAGAAATAGACGTTATCATTTTTAAGCAGTTACCTTTAATTTAGTTTTGTTTATTCTATATTCTTTTGAATAAAGATTGTTTTGGTTCATTGTTTTTTCTGTCTCAATTAAAAAATACTTGGAAATAATTCTGTGTTTGAACTATTGAGGTTAGAAAATTTCTTATGTGTAATAAATTTCCTGGTAAGGTAGTTCTCATATTAGAACAGATCGTAAAACCAAGACAGGCATTTTGCTGGTTAGATTTTACAGGGTGTCGCATATCACGAAAGGCTTATTTCTAGCCTCAATATCTCAAAAAAAGATGACTCCAGACATGGACGCTAACACATAAAAAATGTTTGAAATCATAAGGAGAATTTCAAAATACAATAATAAAAAAGATTTTCCATTAAAAAATGTTTGGGCTGGGTGCACTTTAGGCTACCCTGTATATCGCAAAATATTTTTTTATTTATAATTTAACTTTTTTCAATTTTTTTATAATAAGGAATCTTTGGTACTCCGTCAGATCCACCCTGTACAACGAGTCTAGGAGTCTTCAAACTTTTAAATTCACTTTTCTCAAAACTTTCTTTTTGTGTCATTTATCTTTTTTACCCTGTGCCCGTCAAATATTCTTACAGCACTGCAATCTGCTGCAAAATGAGGTTTCAAGAAAATCGAAGGATTTTTCGAAGAGAAAAAGTGATAAGACTAAAAGTAATCACCCGTTTCATTCTTCTGTAAAAGTGGAATATTCACATACAATTTCACAGTAGCAGTAATGTTTTAAAACAAGTTACTAGCGAAGGAAAAATTCTCAAAAAATGCTTTTATTGACAAAGAAAATTGATAGAATTGTTTTTTTAGTAATTTCTATACGCACCATGAAATATCAGATGAAAAGGATTTAGAACACTACTGCAAACAAATAGTTGAAATAAATGCGAAAAAAAAGGGACGTGCGACCTTAACTTGTTTTAATGTCTTTTTACTAGAGAAATTGACTCGAAACCATTCCAGCAAAGATTTCATTTAATCTTCCCCAAAGCTAGTAGGCAATCATTTAGGAGCGTATCCAATACCATAGTGGTAAAAACAAGGTTACTGTTGTTTGTCGGGCTGAAAACAAACGCGCAATCGGTATAATTTGTTAGTTTTTTAAGACTGTTTTAGACTACACAATGTCTTGTACAAGATGTGGTTCAATTTCTTGAACAAGATAAGGAATGAAAAATTGTTTACTGAAATTAAAATGCTGTTTTACATTCAAACAATTTATTGTTCAAGAAGAAATAGCTTGGGATTCTGCGCATTGAGATTCTGTCTGTCTGCAAATATCAAAGTTGTCAGTGTCACTCACAAAGTGTCACCGAATTCTCAAAAATTAAAAACAAAAAGGATTTTGAGTAGATAAAAATAATTTTGGTTGTGTTGATTATTAACTTTATGCTATTAACTGATAACATTATTCGCTGGTCTGCACTATGGAGCTGGAAGCAAATATTGCCTTAGCAGGTGTATCTTTGGGTGTCTATCTTGCGAAGAAACTGGTGGACTGGCGAATTAAGAGACTTGCAAACAAACGAAAAATTGGCAAGAGAAGTATCTGAAAAGAAGAGACGAAGGCCGCGGAGTGTTGAACATGTTAAGAGAAGAACTATTGCTTGAAGACCCAAACAGATATAAAAACTGAATGGACAATGAATGTTTTAATAATTCCTGCGTATGATTCAACCTGATATTGCAAAGCAAGATACACACTTAAGACAATGAATAACTGCAGAAAATAGGTGATATTATCAGCATTGTGCCCGTAAAAAAAAATTATGACAGCTTTACTTCTCGGCTGGCTGTGACACTGCGGTATTTAGCTAGTGGTAATTCATTCAGAGATCTGATGTTTGCTACCAGAATTCATGAAAGTACCATACGTCTCATTGTACCAGAGGTCTGCTAAGCAATAATTTCAAATTTAATGAAAACATACATAAAGGTAACATATAGGGGTGTATCATGTATCTTTTACCTAACTATTATTTATTTTTTTAGCGTCCAAGTAGTGCTGAAGAATGGAAAAAACTAGCAGATGACTTCTACATCATGTGGAATTTCCCTTTCTGCCTAGGAGCTTCAGGTGGCAAACATGCTGATTTTGAAGCTCCTAAAAGTGTAGGCTCGTTTTATTATAATTATAAACGACGAAAGAGCATAGTTCTCCTGGGACTAGTAGATGCCAACTATAAGTTTTTGTATGTTGATGTAGGCGTAAATGGCAGGGTTAGTGATGTTTTTAGAGAAAGCAGTCTCAGAAAGGGAATTGACAGAAACATTCTGGACTTTCCAGAAGATTCCTTTCTGCCAAACAGTAATATCAAGATTCCATATGTAATAGTTTGTGAACATGCCTTCCCACTGACCAAAAAAACTATTAAGCCGTATCCTCAACGTGGATTATCCAATGAAAAACGAATTTTCAACTATCATGTATCAAGACCAAGAAGAACTGTTGAGAATGCCTTTGGAATCTTAGTCAGCAGATTTTGAATTCTCAGAGGAACAATAAATTTAGATCCACAAAAGGTTGAGACAATAACACTAGCATGTCGTGTTCTGCATAATTTTCTCACAACACATAGTAAGCGTCATATAGAAATGGATAATGAAAGCTGAAACTTAGATCGCCTTTCTCAACAAGGAGGAACAAGATATGCTACTGAAGCGGTTGATATTAGAAACCAATTATACAGATATTTCAGTACTACTGGAGGAGTGTCTTTTTAAAATAGGGCTATAGGAATTGATTAAAAATGTACATAAATTTTGTCTTTTTTTATTGCTTCTCTTAATAATTTTTGTATTTCTAAATAAACATCTTGTCTTATATCATCATTTGTGATTTTTTTTAATTGTGCTGCCACAAATTGGCCCATGAAATCATCTGCTGTGGCTGTAGCAGCAGTTCCGCCTTTCTACAAAGCTGCAGACAGGCTATCAGATACATCCTTGAACATCTGAATCTCGGATGCGTCTTTTCATTCTCTTGGGAGTGCTGCTACCGCTTCTTGCAGATGATGCCCCTCGCTTCTGGGTACCACTCGAGCATGGCCTTTGTAAAATGCCAAGGTGGTCAGAAAGACCACTTTCAGGTCTTTCTGTGACAGGTGATAAGATCCCCTCATCACCAACTTCGTAATGTTCCTGGAAATAAATGTAAGTTTGTCCATACATTTTTAGAAGCATTTTTAGAGCAAAGCAATAATTTTATAACAGGTTTGAAATAAAATTTTGATTTATCATTCACCTGGCACAATTTTAAAATGCCATCCAGCTCCAGTGCATACATAGACAATCCGAAACTTGCAATATGAACGTATATTCTAAAATCTATGTATATCCATTCATATTCGTCAATATTTCATTTGAAGGTTCTATTTTTCATAAGATTTTAGCAAAATGTAAAATAGTAAAGTCAACAGCGCATACAGCAGCCCAGTTGACAAGAACGACAAGCTGTCAAGATGTATAATCCGGGGTACCGACGGAGCCATTTCGGGCGTCATAGAGTTAATTTTAAACTTTTCATTGGCATTATTTCAGGTATTGCGCATCGATTTTGAGAAAAATTCCACTACGTATAAGTCTTATAAAGCATAGTAGGCAGAGTTTGCTCCACTGGGACCAAGCGTTGATGGGTCCCCCAGAATTATGTGTCAATTGTCGATATGGGGAGTTTTGAAATATCAGGAGATAATCAGCTGTTATTCTACCGTAACCACCGTACTACTGAAAACTACCGCAGTTTACTGTTCGAATTCAAGTAATATCTAATATAACCTAGAAATGTGCACCCCGTGGAAAAATAAAATTATTGCAAATTCTAGTTTTTTGCATGTTTTAAGTTTGCTGCTAACGACATATATTTGGGTATTTCTCAATCGCTGTAAATATAGTGTGGATATTTGTTCACGTCCTGAACAACGAAAAATATACTTTTTTTTTATATCGAAACAGCCGCGTAGGCAGAAGCCTAAATGCCGGAACACCGCGGCTGCTATGATGATCTCAAAGAAATTTTGTTAATACGATTTTTGAACTGCCTAAGGTTAGTAGAACTGGGAAAAGCTTCCTCTTGTAGATTGTTCCACAATCTAGACACCCTCGGGACAAAGGAGCGGTCGTATCGGCGAGAGCGAACGCTTCGACTGCACGACCTGCTGCATCGGTCTTATTTGAGCCCAACCAAAGCTCATTATGGGCATTGAAATCACCGAGAAGAACTACTTCTGAAGCGGGGTGATTGATGTTCAGGAAGTCGATCTGGACGGCGAGGTATTCGAGTAGGTCATCCCAGTTATGGTTCGAGGGAGAGCGATAAAGGCAGCAAATACGTTTGGGTGATGTTTTGGAGTTGAGGCGAAGCCACCGAATGTCCTTCCGGTCTGATTCCAAAGAAAGATCCCTGGAGCAGGAAAGACTGCTGCGGACAAAAGCCAAAACTCCCCCGTTCTTTCTCAGATTGGAGTGCACCTCGTAGTTTGGGAAGTTGAGATGGTTAATCGGTGCAGTCTCTGAGATTTTTGTCTCCGCCAAGAAAAGCACGGCGGGACGATTGGATTGCAGGTAATGATGAACAGCATCAATGTTGCTGTTAATCCCGCAGATGTTCGAAAAACAAATTTTATCTTCGATGTTTTTCCCTCGAGCACACCCTCCACCCGGACATTCCGAGAGTGGAGTGAGTTTACGTCCGGAGTTCTTAGTGCTCGACGGATCCATCATCATTAATTTCTTTGTTTTGGAAGATAACCGACTGCATAGCTTAGGTGTGGAAACATGCGGACATTTATAAGGCACTCTGGGAAAAGCTAGCGGGTGGTACCGCCTCGGTCGACTGGTCCTTGTCTACCACCTTCTTTTTACGTGTTAGTTATATTAAATAGACCTAAAGTGGCCCGTTGGCGGACTTAACTGCCACCCGGCAATCGGTACTGAGGTATTCCTTAACGCGTGTACAATCACTTGGACGGGAAGAAGTTGTATACTGGATACAACAACTTCCGGAACAAGAATTTGACACGGCCCTCGCTCAGTAGGGGGCTTTATGTGTGTGTTGATATCAAAAATCCTTAATGGTTTTGTGCGAATATCAATCTAAGGAGCCATAAACGTACTGATGAACGGCAAGAAATGAATGAATGTTTGGAAACGAGCAATATCTATAAAATTTTGGGTCTTTGCCATCAAGTAAGTGTTTAATGGCTATATGCAAGAGGTTTATAGGAAAAAGCACAGGTTAGGTGATTTTAAATCAGTAAAATCGCATGTGAATTGAAGAAAATAATATAAACATGAATAAACAATCAACAATAGTAAAAAACTAGAATTTTAGGAAAAATTCAAACACCTTTTTTAAATTTTGACTGAATTATATCTAATTTCTTAATATTCAATAAGCTGATGATGTTTCAATGACAAGCTGTCATCTCATACTGTGACAATATTTTGTTTTCAATATTTCACAGCTATTGGTTGCTAAAATTTGTTGAATGGATCGTAAAGCTCATTCGCTATTTTTGACGGATTTGACAGTCCTTGTGAAATCCAGCTTAGGTTAATCAATGATATTCGTGATTATTTTAACTACTGCTTCGGAGTGATAGTAAACAAAGTATTCAGTCACAGTAGAAGACGAGACTGAATGCATGTGCATAAAAAGATTGGAGTATCAGTGAACAGTTTTGATAGATTAACAATGGTTATCCGAAGTGTTTGATTAACAAGATCTTGTTCAGCTCTCCTCCCAGTATTTTACCAAATTCTAATAATCCAAGTAATAGTCTCACAACACCTACTAACCGAACTGACATAATTCCCAACACCAACACCAATTCAAATAACAATACAACCGCCATCCCAAATTCCAGATCTGGTTTTGCTGTCATACCCTATATCAAAGAAGTGACCCCTAAGCTTGTAACGCTTCCTTTCCGCAAAAAGTCCAGAAAAGATGGAATGCAATGAAGATTCCAACTTTTCTGCACAATCACAGAAAGGGGGTTACCATTAGCTTCCGGTAGCTCAGTCGGTGGCATGAAGACATCTACAGGCGTGTAGCTATATGTCGACCATGGCATGGCTAGAGGATAGAAGAACAAACAGAACACAAAAATTTAACAGATTTTATTTAACAAAAAAAAAGGCATTTTCATTACATTACAATTTTACAAAAATAACAAAATAAGTTTTACATCTTTGGCGCTGCTATAACGCTATCGACTTATCTTTCGCTGGTCCATTTTTACTCGACTGAAGCCAGGATGGCCAGGGGCTTGAAGGGGAGGTCCCAGTTATGAGGGGTGACCTCCATATAGTGGCTTCACAACCAGTTGTAGGCGAAGTTAAAGGCGATGGCGCTGCCAAGGTACATGCATGGGTGAAAATATTGGCCAAGGCTAGGCAAAGTGAAAGGGAAAGAGAAAGGGGGTGGCCCCAATCATTTTTGTCCTATACGGACACACATTCTGGAAAATTCTAGCACATGGTGCTATATAACCTTGTGCTACTGAGAAGAAATTTCTAGCCGTTGTTCGATCGGCGGCTCAAGTGAAAAGGAAGCGCGAGGAAGATCGCAGATCAGGAACTCCGCATCAAGCGCTCCAAGCGGAAAATTTTCCAAGTAGAAAAGCTAGAGATGGGATTAATGAAATGATAATCGAGAAGTGATTTAATAAATACGATCGGACGGTGAAACCGTTACACTCGCCCCAACTTAACCAGAAAAAAATTCGAAGAAGCATTCAAGAATTTTTTTTTTAACAAGGAAATTGAAAGTTATCACGGAAGGACAAATGTACAACCATTCGACCAGATAACAAGTAGCAAAAGTAAGGTAGAAACAAAAATGTTAGAAGAGAAATGGAAGAAAAAGGGATAGCCTCAAGTCTACCAAACAAGAGGGATGGTTATAGCACCAACTCGCTGAAAAGCACAGTGAAGTTGCACCTAAAAAAAAAACTATCATCATATGATGAACAACCCAAAACATAAAACATCGTCATACCTAAGACGAGAAAAATAATAAACCAAAAGTTTCAGCAGTAGTCCAAGCACGAATCACAATGGCATCCAAAATGCACGACTGACTACTAAAAACTTCAAAACTAAGTAAGTACCTAAACCATAAGAGGTACTAAAAAAATAATAATCTTTCTCAAAACAATTGCCAGATTATCTCGCAATACTCCAAACCCAAAAAGATTATGATCTACAGTGATATTTTAAACCAATATCCAATATAAAAAAACAATGCATTACTATTTTCAAAATATGAAAATCAAAAGAAATTAACAAATTCCATTAGGAATTCAAGTCATATAGCAAAACAATTTACAAGTACTAAACCAATGAAAACTTGATCACGAAGGTATTTTAATCAAAAAAAGATGTTAACTAAGTGCAGTTCTGATTCCACAAAAAAATTGTCGGGCGCCAGCAGTCTGTAAGACTACAAAATAATTCAAAATATTTTCAGAGAATTAAAGTAT